AAGCCTTCCATTTTGGAACAGTGCCTCTGGTTTATCAGCAGAAATGTTGCACTTTTAACTCTACCAGTTTGTGACGAGCACTGAAGAAATATCTTGTACAATCCCCTGAATCATGTTAAATTCCAACAGAGATAAATCAACGTTTTATGTGAACTAAGAGAAAGGAGAGAGACTATCTAAATGGGGCAATCAGAAAATACTGCATAGAGGAGACAGGAAAAGGGCTATCTGAAAAAAGAAATTGATGGTGATGTTTATGAGAAAATGGCATTTGGGAGGTTGGATGCATGATTTAGTTTCGGCTCTTGACAATAGGGAGGAAGACGGTATCCTCTGAAGAGCATGTGTGGTGAACAAGGATTGGGGGTTTGTGAGGAGAAGGGAAATAAGGAGCGTGCTCAGGAGGAACGACATTATTCAAATGGCTTGAAAAAATCGTTGGAAGTCGAAACATGTGGATTGAAAATGTTACAGTGGATTCTGAATTCGAGAGTAAATACTTTGTATTTAATTTGTTGGGCAAAGAGGAACGATGACAGGTTTTTCTGTGTGGTCATTTATTATAAAGATTTTATTTATTTCAGAGAGAGCACACAAGTAGGGGGGAAGGCCAGAGGGAGAGGGAGACCAGCAAGCTCCCCACTGAGCGTGGAGCCTGATTTGGGGCTTGATCCCAGGATCCTGAGATCATGACCTGAGCCGAAGGCAGACACTTAACTCACTGAGCCACCCAGGTGCCTTGAGTGTACAGTTACTTTTACTGCAAAACAGTGAACTGATTAAAAAAAATAGAAGTGTAAACAAAGTGTATATTGCACAAGTAATTTACCACTTAGCTTACACAAGTAATTGTTCTATTCCCAAATTTCCTTAAGATGGGGATAATGCTAGTACTCTCCAAGAAACAGCCCTGTGAAAATTAAATCACCTAATCCATATACAGCATTACAAGAGTCACCAATCCATCCCCACCCACCTAAACAAAAGAACTGTTGAGTAAAATTTGTACAAAGATTTTCTTAAATGTTTCCATGAACCAGCAAGAAAGAAAATATTCTGTACAACCCAATGAAGTCATAACAATAATATAGAGATAACTGTAGATATATAGATACAGAAAAAAAATCTGTAATTATACATATATACTCACACATGCACATTTTAAGGAAAATAATAAAATGAATTTGTTCTACCAGTCTAATAAATAGAGTATCTCCATATCTTTGTGTTCCTCTTTCTGAACACATTGCACTCTGAGAGTTTACCATGATTGTAAATTATGTAAAAATCATTGCCTTTTCCTCTTTTTAGAGTTGTAAGCATCAAGGTATGCATTCAGAAACAATATATTGCTGGGTTTTGCACTTTATACAAATGGAATCATGTAGTTTTGTTGTTATGTGGTGAGCTTCTTTCTCTTAAATGTTACAATTTTGAAGTTTAGCCATATTGATGAGTTTCAATGTACTCATTTAGTTTGCAAAGGTATAGTGTTCTAAGTTATGGATACATACACCCATTTGTTTATTCTATAGTTTGTGGATATTGGAGTTGATTTCAGTGTTTGGATATTGTGAATTCTGTTCCTATAAACCATCTTGAACACCTCTCTCCATACACATGTACAAGAGCCTCTGCGGTATATACCTAGAAGTATCGTGACAATGTCTCAAAGCAAAGCATGCATATGTTAAGCTTTACTAGGAAATGTCACACTGCTTTACAGGGTGATTGTGTCAAATTTATATTCTTACTGGCAATAAATAAGAGTTCATTATTTATTGATCCTCATTTTTACAAACACTTTTTTCCCTATTTTCACTACTTTGTATATCGGTCCAAAGAATGGAAGTGGAACAGTATGTTATCCTACATTAATGTCTATCACCATGATAATTCATTGAATTGTACTTTTTTTCATAGGTATATAAAATTCCTTATATACTTACTCATCTGAAATTTCTTGTATATTGTTTTCCCTATTCTTTAGTGTTCTTTATCTTCTTTCACAGGTACTCTCAGGACAAAAGTCAACTTCAGTGATCTAATTAACTATTTTAATTATGATCTTCAGGAAAGGCAGGATAGGTTCTTGAGTATTTCTTTTTATTTAATTTGTACCCTCCCTGTCTTTCTCAGAAGGTGACCAACTGTTTTTAAGAACATTGCAAAATCAGTTTTAAAAACATTTGTGATTCTTATCGAAGTCCAGATTGTCCCACATTTTGCCAACTGGCCCTTCTCCGATTTGGCTCTTGAGTTCTTTTGATGTGATCCTTAAAGTCTTCGCTAGTTTCATTGTATGGCGTAAGAAAATATTCCAAATGTAGTTTATTCATTATCTGTCACAGACATGGAATCAGCCATTTTTACATGACCGTTGGTTTGTTTTCATAAGAAACAGTATTTTTAAGTCCACAATCTAGGCACAAGACATGGTTCTTTTTTTTTAATGATACTTTTTTTTTTATTATGTTATGTTAGTCACCATACAGTACAGCATTAGTTTTTGATGTCTTGCTCCGTGAAACATTGTTTATGTATAACACCCCGTGCTCCATGCAATCCACACCCTCCTTAATACCCATCACTAGACTCACCCATCCTCCCATCCTGAAGCTCCCTTCTAAAACCCTCAGTTTGCTTCTTGTGGAAAGAGCTAAAATGCTCTTCATGAATGAGTGGATAAAGAAGACATGGCCCATATATATAATGGAATATTACTCAGCCATCAGAAAGGATGAATACCTAACTTTCTCATCAACATGGATGGGATGGGACTGGAGGATGTTATACTGAGTGAAATAAGTCAAGCAGAGAATTATCATATGGTTTCACTTATTTGTGGAACATAAGGAATAGCATGGAGGACATTAAGAGAAGGAAGGGAAAAATGAAGGTAGGGAAACCAGAGAAGGAAATGAACCATGAAAGACTGTGGGCTCCAGTAAACAAGATAAGATTCTTAAAGACACAGGTGATAATAGAAAAAACAAACAAACAAACAAACAAAAACACCTCATACTCATTTGTTTTACTCTGCATTAGATGTATCACATTATCATAAAAATACTAAAACTGCCCCTACTAATTATGATTACTAAACTGAGTTACAATTTTGCCCATTTTATTCATATTCTAATCCCATTTTATGGTTATTTTATATATATATATATATATATATATATATATATATATATATATATCAAACAACCCAATGCAGAGGTCATATAGATTGTTCCTTAGCAAGAATATAAAATAGATAAATAGATTAGATAGAGCGATGGATAGATAGAGATATCATTAGGTCACCTACTATATCTGCACAATTAATTTATTCTTCCAGTAATTACATTGTAATGCTCACTACGAGTTCTTCTGTCAAAGTTTCTCTAATACATTTCTTAAGTAGAACTTCTAAAGACTGGGGCGCCTGGGTGGCTCAGTGGGTTAGGCCGCTGCCTTCGGCTCAGGTCATGATCTCAGGGTCCTGGGATCAAGCCCCGCATCAGGCTCTTTGCTCAGCAGGGAGCCTGCTTCCTCCTCTCTCTCTGACTGCCTCTCTGCCTGCTTGTGATCTCTCTCTGTCAAATAAATAAATAAAATCTTTAGAA